GATCTGAACTCCTCCACGTTTATTAGTCGTAGGAGATTCCAAATTAAATCTGTTACACACAGTTACAGTTTTTATATGGTGAATAGTACTCGGAATAGAGTCGGCACGGACCACAAAACATATCGGACCCATTTGAATTAAACTGAAAGCTGTATTTTAAAACGGTTAGACAGACTCTGCATTGCTATTATAGACTGTGAAGATACGTCACGCCGCGTTGCATGCTGGGGCGCTGCCGCCATTCTGGGAGGATCGTGCTCGGCTAGTTAATACCAATACCTTGTTTTGATTGCGTAAAGCGTTTAAATTTTGATGTAGAAGGGATAAAATGGAGAAGTGTAATAAAAAGGAAAGTGGGCCCTACCGGGACAATATAAATGTTAAGGCCAAACAAGGGTATTATGAAAAATTAAAGACAATTAACAACATAGATCCATATGAATTGCCAGCACAAGAATGGTTTTCAGATCCCAAAGCACTACCTCCACTTACATATCCATCATTACATCATTAACTATCTCGTATTTGGTATAAGTGCATGCACTCTTAGTCAGTTCAAATGCTACTAATCCCTAGATGCTCACGAACAATTTTGCAGTGGCTGGGTGCAAGATCTGCTAAGCCACAGACCAGCAAACTGTGAATCCACAGTCGTACTCACAAAGGTAAGGTGTCACTCTTGTTTTTTTATTATTATTATTATTATTATTATTATTAGGTTGACTTGAAAAAAGCCTACTTACTGATATCCTATTTTAGCTTATAGTTATTATTATTATGAGACTAAAATTTCTAAATGTATCTCCACCTAGAGCTAGAACAGTGGTTGTTAATCATGGCCATGCCTCCGCCGCATATTTTGCATGTCTCTCTTGTTTAACACACCTGATTAAAATCAACAGTTCACTAGAAGAGAGTTCTATATATCTATCTGACCATATCTATCTATCTATCCATCTATCTGACCATATCTATCTATCTGACCATATCTATCTATCTATCTATCTTTTCTTCATTTGATGCATAGCACTCTCAATTGCATTTCTGTCTTTCAACAGGTCATGCACTCACAGCGCCTAAGTGAGGCTCCGCTGAAGGATTGGGTTATAATTTCCTCCACAGCCCATTGTACATGCATGGTGAGTGTTGCAGAGACATGCACTCACATTGGGGCTCTGTTGTTCAAAGTAGAAGCAACTGTCCAGTGCAGGGAAATAAAGACTGTCACTGACAAACCTGCATATCGGATTTGACCAAGTAATGTCAACTAAGTACATTCTGAGGTGGGCCACAAGATTGATTATACTTCTGCTGCTGCCACATGAAAATCACTAAACTGTCTACTGAATGCTGAGACTGTCAGCAAGCCTGGTTTGAGGACTTGTGCCAGGAAGCTCACTACACCACCACCAACACATTCAGAGTGAACACAATTCTACGCAGATCTTCGTGGAGCTTGTGGCAAATCTGCTATACTGAGTGTGCTGCCACAATATTGTGAGAAGTTCAAGGAGCCTGTCACTATTTTGAAATCCCTTCACTGCCTACATGACACCAGGCTTGATGAATGTGATTTTTCAATTTTGGAAAAGCACTGCCGAGCACAAAAAAAAAAAAACAAGCTGAACAAATCGAAAAGACTGCACGCACACAGCATAAATCTTCATTTTGGTTTGCTGCTCGAGCAGGCAGAATCACTGCTTCTAATACGCATGCTGTGTCTAATATGCTACTGATGTCAGGTCACCAGCTCAGTCAACTATCAAAAAAATGTGCTATCCAAAGGACAGCAAATGTATCACAGCTGATCTTACTTGGGGTACAACACATGAAGAGGATGCAAGGAAGACCTACATTAAAAAAAAACAAGGGACAACACAACAACCATGAGGTGTCAATATGTGGGTTTTTCATAAATCCTGCTTTCCCAGAAATTGGAGCATCACCTGATGACATAGTCAGGTGCACTTGCTGTGGGAAAGGGTGCGTTTAAATCAAGTGTCCATCCAAGTACAAAAACAACACCATCCAAGAGGCATGTGTGGCCAAAGACTTCTACCTTGAACTCTTGCTGATGGAAAGGTTCAATTGAAACAAAGTCACCAATATTACACACAAGTCCAAACACCAATATTTGTGACAGACAGTAATTACTGCCATTTTGTGGTTTGGACACTCAAAGACTGTGTCGTTCTGCGACTAGATGCAAACCCATGGAGTGCACGCCTACAGAAGGCACAACAATTTTCCATTGCAGTTTCCCTCCCTGAGATAATTGCACAACACTTCACCAAAAAAGTCTCCAGAGCATCAGTGAGCAACAGAACTGTGCCTCTAGGAGAAATCCAGCAAGAGAATGTGCGAAACTACTTTGTTTGGCCTTCCAAAAGAGGACGATATCTGCTTCGTCATGCCTGGAGCTGATCCGTGCTGGTTGC